ATAAAATAATGGGTGGGCCACGTGCGGACTAAAATGAGTGTCGGATTCTGACTTAAAGTCTGCTACCAGATGCAACTGTACAATTGAAGTACATCAAGTCACTTGCTACTCAATGACAGGCTTTTGACACGAGTCTGCAAGCAATTGATTTATTATGGTCTCTGTGTATTCAAACCTCACTGCTAATGTTAATCTGTATTAGCAGTCACTCCCCAGTATTAACACCACCACCTCAGCTCCACCTCAGATCATCAGGCATTAGATTCTCATAAGGACTGTGCACTCTAGAACACTTGCATGTGCAGTTCACAACAGGGTTCATGCTCCTATGAGAATCTAATGCCACTGCAGCTGATATGACAGGAGGAGCTCAGGAGTTAAATACGAGAGATGGGGAATGGCTGTAAATACAGATGAAGCTACACTCACTCACCGACCACTCGCCTTCTGCTGTGTGGCCCTGTTCCTAACTGACTGGTCTGGTTCATGGCCTGCTCTAACTCTTCTGTACCATGTTTGCAGGAGAGGCAGGCATGCTCTAATACTCCTGTACTGAGTTTATGGGAGAGGCAGATGTGCTCTAAACTTCCTGGCTTGTTCTAGCCTCATCTGATTTTGCTACCAGTGGAATCTTCCCTGTTTTCTCTATTCTGGAAAAAGTTTGTATAAATTGTAGAAATTATGCCTTGAAAGTATAGAAGAATTATTACTAAAAAAATCTAGGGCTGGTGTCCAAAAGTTTTTTTTTTTTGAGTTGGAGTCTCACTCTGTCGCCCAGACTGGAGTACACTGGCCGCTCCCGGCCACCACAGCCTCGACCTGCTGGGCTCCAGCGATCCTTCCGCCTCAGCCTTCCGAGTAGCCGGAATTACAGGCATGCACTACCATGCCCGGCTGATTTTTGATTTGTTGTAGAGATGAGGTCTCGCCAAGTTGCCCAGGTGGGTCTTGAACTCGTGGGCTCAGGCAATCCACTCACCTCAGCCTCCCAAGGCGTAGGATTACAGGCTGAGCTACCGAGCCCGGCTAAAAGTATTTTTTTTTTTTTTTAATTACTCTACTTCAATGATTTTGGGGTTGCTAAAACTATTTCTTCAGAGTCCATTTTAATGGCTTACATTCTCCTAGGAATTTTTCTATTGTTTATTTCAGATTTATTTGTTATAAAGTACTGATATTCTCTTAAATTTTCTTTTAAGTATCAGATTTATCTGTAGCTAGGTTCCTTTTCTCTTCTATAATAGTTATTTGTGTCTTTTCTTACTTTTTTAAGATCAAACCTTTGAGGTGTATTTTGTTAAATCTTTCTGAAAGTCTGGGAAGCTATGTTGATCCTCTCTCTTATCTTTGAGTTACTGCTTTCTGTTCTAATCTTTATCATCTCTTTCCTTCTATTTCTTTGGCTTTGTTTTATTGTTCTTAAGTTGGTCATTAAGATGATTACGTTTTAGTCTTTCTTTTTGTATTAAAAAATGAAGCTAAGTTCCTATAAAGCCCTGACTTTGTACACGCCACAGGCTTTGATAAGAAGTGATTCTGTTATCATTTAGTTACAAGCATTTTCATACTTCTTAATTCTTTTTGGATTCATGTGTCATTTAAAAATGTATCTGTCAATTTCTAAAATATAGATTTTAAAACTCACTGCTTTGTCATTAACTTCTAACTTTTATTACTTTTTATTGTAACCGGGAATACTCAGTCTTTGGAATTCACCGAGACTTGACTCATGGCCTACCATGTCTAATCTTTGTAACTTTCTCATAGATGCCTGATAAGAATACGTGTTCTCTAATTGTTATATAAAAAACTCTATGTACATAAAATCTGAACTGATGATTGTGCTATTCAAATCTTCTATACTTTGGCTGCTACCCTGCCTGGTTGGCCTATTAATAAATTAAAGAGATGTTAAAATTTGTTCCTGTGATTGATAGCAACAAACAATCCATTTCTCCCTGTAGTCTGTCAATTCTTGCTGTATGTATTAAAGCTATTTTAATAAGTGTACGTTCTGAGTCGTCTTTTATTTTTATGTAGTATCCTTCCTTTTTAAATAATATTTTTCACCTTAAAGTTTATTTTGACCCTCCCCTACCTTGGGGAGGTGAATACCCCCCTCTCTAATTTAGTTTTTAAATAAACCATATTTTCCTATCTAGAAAAAAAGTTTATTTTGCTTGATATTTTAGTAAATAAATTTTTTTTGATATTTTAGTAGATAAATTTAGTAGATAGCTTCCTTTTTATTCACAGTGGTCTAATTTTTTTCTTTTAACTTTTGTTTTTCCTTATTGCTTCATCACTCATTTTTCTGTAAATATTAAATGGCTTAATCTTTTATGCTTTTCATTTTTATATAAATAAACCTTATTTGTGTTTTTCTTAGTTCTTCAACATTTTATTTTGAAATCCATCCATTTATCTGTACTTTATTGTCAGTGATGTTTAGTACTCAACTGTAAGAACACTGCACAATTTATTCATTCTACTTTTGATAAACTTTTTGTGCTGCATCTAGACTGTTTGCTTTGCTAACCAAAACAATTCTATGAACATTCTTATGTGTGTTTTTTGGTGTAGATATACAACATTCCTTTATAGAAAGAAGTAGGAGTAAAATTGCTAGAGAGTAAAAGACATGAATATTCAATTTGACTGATAATGCTAGATTGCACAAAGTGGTCTACCGACTTAATTTCCCACCAACAGTGAACAGGAATTCCAGATTCATCCTTTAACTGTTAGGAGAAATCATATCTTTATTACACTAAGATACCCTAAATCATGAAAATAGCATGCCTATTTATTTATTTATTTATTTTTGTTTTCTTTTGAGTTGGAGTCTCACTCTGTTGCCCAGACTGGAGTGCAGTGGCCGCTCCCGGCCACCACAACCTCGACCTGCTGGGCTCCGGCAATCCTTCCGCCTCAGCCTTCCAAGTAGCCAGAATTACAGGCATGCGCTACCACGCCTGGCTGATTTTTTTTTTTTTTTTTTGAGTTGGAGTCTCACTCTGTCGCCCAGACTGGAGTGCAGTGGCCGTTCCCGGCCACCACAGCCTCGACCTGCTGGGCTCCGGCGATCCTTCCACCTCAGCCTTCCGAGTAGCTGGAACTACAGGCGCGCACTATCATGCCCGGTTGATTTTTTGATTTATTGTAGAGATGAAGTCTCGCTGCCCAGGCGGGTCTCGAACCCGCCGGCTCAGGCAATCCACTCACCTCAGCCTCCCAAAGGCGCGGGATTACAGGCTGAGCCACTGAGCCCGGCAAATAAATTCTTTTTCTTTTTCCTTTTTTTTTTTTTTTGAGTTGGGGTACATTGGCATGCTCATGGCTACTGCAGCCTCTACCTGCTGGGCTCAAGCGATCCTTCTGCCTCAGCCTTCCAAGTAGCTGGAACTATAGGAGCGCACCACCACCCTAACAATTTTTTTTTTTTAATCTTATTGCTCAGGCTGGTCTCGAACCCCTGGGCTCAAGTAATCCTCTCGCCTCGGCCTCCCAAAGTGCTGGGATTACAGGCTTGAGCCACTGTGCCTGGCTGATTTTTTGATATATTGTAGAGATGAGGTCTCACTGCCCAAGCAGGTCTCGAACCCGTGGGCTCAGGCAATCCACTCACCTCAGCCTCCCAAAGGTGCGGGATTACAGGCTGAGCCACCGAGCCTGGCAGCATGCCTATTTATTTAGGTCTTCATTAAGTGCCTTCAATTTTAAAAACTTATTCCCGCTTAGATTTCAAACATTTTTGTTTAAACCTATTTTTCATTATTTTATATGTTTGTTGTTATTCTAATTAGTGTTTTAGTATTAAATGTCCTCATTGTTGCTGGTGTGCAGAAGCCCAGCTTGTTTTAGATATTAAACTAAGCATACATGACATAATAATCTGACATAAAGTCTATTCTGTAATAAAGAGCTGAGTATCTCATGTGAATTCTTGAATACCTTACTGGAAGTGAAGAACAGAATAGCTGTGTGGGCACTTGAAGAGCAGTTTCTACTAAATACATATGGTTTCCCCTCATCGTCAAGCCAAAATTACTGAGCCGGGGCTGCTGGTGTGCCCTCCCATTTCTCAGGCTCACGCTCCATGTTTTATATGTCCTTGGCTGCTATGAATACAAACTTTATTCTTCAGTTCACTCTCTAGTTTCCCTTACACACAAGGGAGCTATTGCTATCTTACCCTGTAAGCTGCCACTTTACTAATATCTAAGTGTTAATAACCATCAGGTGATTTCCCTGGTTGACTGTTGTATCTGCAAATATTTGTGTCTTCTCTTACTTTTATATCTTATTTCTATTTCTTGTCTTACTGTTATGACTACAGCTTGCATAACAAATGTTAAATAATAGTGTTGTTAGTAGACTTCTGACTTCTTAACTATAGTGATAATTTTTCTAATATGTAATTATAAAAAATGTTTAATTTTGTCTGAGACACATTTTGTTTATTGTGTCGTATAACATAGTATTCTTTCATTTCTAGTTCAGTAAGAACCATTCGGAATTTAAATCATGAATCAATACACCAAGGAGGAATTTTAATCCTAAGATGTGGCTTTCATTACAGTACTAGATTCAATTTGCTTGTGTTTTATTTAGTGTGCTATGGATGAAAATGAAATAAGGATAAACAGTATTTTGGGCATAGAACTTTAGGGTGGGACAAGTAATTTGCAGTAAAGCTCTTTAGGAGAATGTGAGTATTAAATACCAAATTCACATATCTTACTGATATTTTCTTCTAATAGCTCACAAGTATCATTCTATAATAAACATGAAGTTTTTGCTCTTATCAAGTCAACAAAGAGATGTTATAAAGGCAGTTTTAAAAAACACGTAAGATTGTAGAAAATTCAAAACATAGAAATATGCCACACTAAGAATTTAACATTTTGATAATTCTTGTGTATACTATAGAAAAAGTTGTGCGACAGTTTTTAAGAATAGTCTGTAAAATTCCAAATATGTATTTCATGTTCTGTTCGAACACACACACATACACATACCCACAAGCACGTATCTATACGCCATAACATTTTTGACTGAATGTGATTTGATCCATTTCAAGTTAAACACAGACTATGAACGGTACCTGTTTTGTCGGTCAATAAGTATACCAGGCGGCCCAGTTCCTCTGGTATAGTGCTGGTCCGAACGACAGTGCCAGGAATATTTTCATCTTTCATAATCATCCATCCGTATGCTGCTTTGCCCATGTCCAAGTTCACACGCAAACTACCAAATCAAACACACTGCAGTCATTAGTGAGATCCAGACCCATGCAATTTGTATGCATTATCTTTAATTTTACATGGAAATAGGTAACACTGGAATTCAGACTTTAAGGCAAAGAATTTGTGGACATTTAAGTCAACAACCATTTTAACACCTGATAATGTTTACAGGTGACAGAAAATGGGTATCTCATATCCTGTCCTCCCTATTGAAAACCCTAGATGGGACAGGAAAAAGACAGACTGCCAGAAGAGTGCCAGGAAGGAAAAAGCATCACAGATGCACAGGAGAGCATGCACACACACTGAAGGAAATCGGGCAGGGTCTTCCTGCGAGTAAATATGGAAAATGGGCCTTAGGGTTTACCCATTCATTTTGCAACTATTTACTGAATGACTCCTAAATTTCAGGTGCAAAACTAGAAACCAGAAGAACATGCAGGATATGATATGATATATGATATGATAAATAAAAAGCTTCCTACTCCTATGCATTGAACTTTTTAATTACCTTTAAAGTTTCGTGGCTTGAGGATATATAGTAAGACTGCAATTTGAAATACATATGATGGCGCATCCTATCTGAGACAATTGTGCTGGAGTCTGGTCGGAAAGCACATGGGATTGGAATAGATGGTCTCTATGCAGGCCTCCTAGGCCTGAAACTCTAAAAAACTGGTCATATAGAATAGTCATTAGAATTGCACCACATTTCAAGGTGGCCTCTGCTGTGTTAGCTATTCACAGTGCAGTTCTTCCTATACAACAACTTGAAAATGTTCTATCGTGTTTAATTTAATTCTACCAAGAGAGCAGATAGTATAGACTTAAACCATGGAAATTTCTGACATCCAACCACTTTTGACCTACCAAAATGGCAACTTATATGGTTCAATCCATTAATAAGCACACACTTGAACACAATCTTTAGGAATCACAGTCAGTGAAGAAAGTTGTATGTAAGCTAAAGAAAAATAAATAATCATAATTTGATTTATCTGTCCATAGAGCTCACATCTTGAATAGTATATGAACTATACGAGTTGGAAAGAGTTTTGACAATCAGTTACAGAGACCAGCACCTCACTAGCACAGTGGAATAAACTCAGTAAAGTGGGAATGCTCAAACCCTACCACAGCAGATATTCCAGGCAGGACACAGCAGCCCACTGGCCTCCTACAGCAGGATAGCTGTGGCATCCTGGTGAGGAGGGCTGGCTATGCAATATGGTCTCAGGCCCATAGCCACCCATGTCTGCAAGGGGCCTACTTCTGTGCTGCAGGTGCCTCCTATTAACAAGTGGGACAGAAATGAAAGTTTTCTTTATCGGCTGTGGTGATGAAGAAATGAACGAGAGCCTGATAAGCAACAAAGGCTCTAAATACATGAGGGACATTCCTGCAAATGGTACTAACCAGCAGGGATGACCCATGTGAGTATAGGGAGAGCCGGAGGTTTGAAGTAGGGAGAGCCGGAGGTTTGAAGAAGGAAAAAATCTATTTACATGGACTCTGATTTAGGCTTTGGAAAAAGAATCTCAGTGAATCAGAATAAATAAAGTGGACACCACAGGCCACTTAGTGAAAATGTAGACAAAAGTTTTGAGGGCAGAGGCAGGCAAAGTGGCCATGGAATGATCACATCACTGTGTGCAGAGTAGGAGGAGGGCTCAAAAGGGGATGTGATATCCTGTCATCCTGTTCAGCTTTTCACAGTTCTGACTCTTTGATTCAGAGATCTGCACTTTGGAAACACATGCCTTTTCCCCTGTGTGCTGTATTCTTTTGGATTTTGCTCAAAGTATTTAGGAAAATGTCAGCTTGGCTCAGCTACTGTAAAGCAAATGAATTTCGGTCCTTGGCTGAGTAGGAATTTCTGCAGAGTCACAATCTGCCACTGGGCTCAAGGTGGTGAGAATCACAGGAGTGTCTGCAAGGGTCTCCTGGGTACTATTCTCCTCAACTCACAACTTAGGGTTTGATAAAACAACTTTGTCGTTATAGAGTTGAGAGAAGTAATTATTTCACGGACTACTATGTTACAAATCATTATCATTGAAGTATTTGAGGTTGAACACAAATACACTCTGAAGACTGTAAAAAGCAGTCCTTATCCATGAGACAGGTGAGGCATCGTCTTCAGGGTGACAGAAATAAGTAGAACCACTGCAGAATGTAAGCTTACAGTTCACTCATGAAAAAGCCACAAGTAAACCTTCTTCAACTAAGATAATAATACTGTATGGGGGGTCAATTGTTTACATGCACTGTGATGCATGTTGTATAGTTTGCTCAAATGTTAACAGGGAAATTTGCTTTTTAATGTTAAAAACCTCTAAGCTGCTCAAACATCAAACTCTAAGTTGGCAAAGTAACTATCATCACTGCATCTCATTTATTTTTTAGTAACGTTCTAATTTTACAGAATTTTAAAACCTAGACCTCTACTCAACCATAAAGTGCTATATTGTAACATGATTTGTGATCCCCCTATATATACAAACCTACTATTTTCAGAAGGATTGAAGAAACATTATAAAGTAGTTGTAACCAGATATATTTGAAGCTCATTATATTGCTAATTTTTGAAACTGTGAAATTGTTACCAAGAGGCCTTCCAGGTAAGTGAAAAAGTTGTTTGTAATTTCAGATGGTTAACTGAACCAAAAGGCAATCATGGTTTTCACGGTTATATAATAAATACAAAAAAAAATATATACTATCCTAAATAAGTTGAAATGTTATGAATAGAAAAACGCATGAAGCTGCTTATGCTACATTAAGAAAGCAGAGAAACTTCAGATCTTCTTAATGGTGGCTCCTTGTGGTCAAAATAGTCTACTCTGGCCACATGCAGTGGCTCACGCCTATATCCAGTACTATGGGAGGCTGAGGCAGAAGATCACTTGAGCCCAGGAGTTTGAGACTAACTTTGACAACAGAGTGACACTCTATCTCTACAAAAACAATAAAAACAAACAAAGAGTCTAATACTATAGCTACAAAAATTTCTGAGGAGGTAATGTGGACTCAATAAATTTGAACTGTATTTTCCTAAAATATGCAATGCAATCCCATTTAGGCTCTATGATGCTTGCTACATTTAAGTCCTATTTTTTTACAATTAAGCCTGCAGCATTTATCTCTACCAGGGAAGGCCAGTGCTACAGCCTGTCTGAGAAAGGCTCATGATTCTCCTCAGGAAGTGAATCTGCCTGACATAATTCACGTGTTACTCTATAAGCAAGATGTATTTTTAGAGTCTAATCTGAGCAAAAGAAATAGAAGTCATTTAAATAATAATTGTTATCAAAATTAAAACCTTTTCCTCTAAATTTTACAACTTAAAAGACACAGGCGCCATTTTATCTGAATGTCTCAACATTTTTCATTTTGTTGTATCTTTAAATATTTCGTAGCACACCATGGAAGCAGAGATGACACCAAAACATTTTCACTAGGCGCATCCACCCAGTGCAACCATGGTAGAGATAATCGTTCAAATCCCTATGACTAGTTTAGCCTCTCCAGGCTTCAGCCTGATTTATTCTGTTGCCTATGAGATATCTGACCTTAGATTCATCACAAACACTTTTAAAATAATACGTACACAATGGAGGCTAACATTCTCACTGTCCCCCCTTCCTGTGCCAAACAACATAAAAACAAACACATTTATTCCTTCTTAGCTGGAGGGAACTTCTCCATCACATGATTGGCATGCAGTTATCACCATAGCCACACATCAGGGGTCACCTAGGATCCTTCTTCCTTTGTTGCCTGGATCCAGATGACCAGGAGGCCAATTCAGCCTACTAAGTTCTCCTCCCCCTACCTGCCTTCCAAGCTCCACTGGGAGGAAGCACAGGTGACTGCACTTTACAGTCTGCTGTTAGGTGTGACTGTATTGATGTGACTAATGACAGACCTGTTCTTCCTGAGCCTCAATAAGCACATCCATCAATGCAATGAGCACTGTGTGGATTCCCACTCGTATACAAAGAAGGCTGACCAAGAGGAACAGTAGAGCTGGCAATTGTTGGGAGAAAGGGATCCCTGGTCTCAAGAGTCAGAAGTTTTACAGAAAAGGCAGAGCCTGAGACATAGAGGGAAGGACTCAAAGAAGCGGAGAGTGTGTGGACAGGGGTACAAGTGTATCAGGCACACCATATATACATAGATCACAAATGGTCGGTCACTGGACATACCAGGCACACCACACATACAAAGATCACATGTGCTCAGTCACTGTACCTATCAGGCACATGAAATGTACATAGATCACACATGATCAGTCACTGAAATGAAGGTGGTGATGGACCCCAAATGTGGAAGCATTCTATTAGATTTATATCCATTACAACAGATATGAGAATAAATGGATGTAGTCTTAGGTCCTAAGACTTTGAGAATACAGTAAGGTGTAAAGAGTAGTTTAAATGGATCTAAGTACACAGTGGGTTTCTGAGTGGGCATGAGAGGACTGGTGATCTGAAGTAAAGTGTATTTTAAAGTACCCCGAGCATCAGCCTTCTAGACAGACCGAACCAAAGTCCAACTGAAGATGAGAAGTGAGACAGAAGACGGCCTGGGTTGTGGGAAGGGCTTGTGGCTATATGTGGAGCTCTGAGAATAGATGCCAGTGGCAGGAGACAGAGGCGACACACAAGGCTCTCCTGGGGGGAGTAGGAGGCAGCATCTTGTCTTCTGCTTAGACTGGTGCCAGCCCAAGGGAGCCAGAAACAGAACTTCAGGACGCCCTGGTAGGCAGAACTGTGTTTGGCCTTCAAATGTGGGAACTTGTACACTGACGTACTGGTATTGTGCCTGAACTTTGAGGACATTTCCAAGCCATCCTGAGGATACTGAAAAAACATCATAGGTGATTGAGTATGAATCAAAACTGGAAATACAAGAATGTGGGAAGGTGAGCACCAAAATTAACGAGACATAAACAGTGACCTAAACTTGGGTACAACCAAAATGATGGTCAAAATCACT